GGGAGAGGCTGAGTCGGAGCTGATAGGTGGCTCCTGACAAGCAGAGCTGGGGGTTGGTGAGGACGAAGTCCAAGTGGAGATTCAAGATTCGAGAGCAGGATGGCCTAAAGCAAGTTCAGAGCCTCCCCCTCCGCCTTGCCCCCTCCCGCCCCCCTCCCCCATCTGCCCTGCTGAGACTGAGATGGAAGAGAATCATAGACGACAAGTATTGGAAGGGACCCTGAAATGACCTAGCCCAGCCCAGCAGTTCTTAGCCTGGCTGACCCTTAGCATTTTGGGGGGATGGAGGGTGGTCCAAAAGGGCAGTTCGTGGGCTCCAACCCCAAAGACTAGGGCAGATCTTTGGGGAAAAAACCTCCAGAGCCTTTTGGATGCCGAGACTCCCTTTAAAACCCACTATCCAATGTTTGCCTGTTGGATACAATCTTAGAGCCCAAAGCCGCTTCGAAGGCCTTTTTGGCTATGCTGAGTCAAAGGTTTGCTGGCGATGGTCTGCGTTTCCCAGGGCTTGCAGTCTAGCCCTTGTCTGCCAGCTGCACACTTGCCCTTTCACACACTGGTCTCCCACTCCTCTGCCTGAAAAGGAAGGGACAGCCTCCGAGGTTGATGGCAGGCATGTGTGTTGATTTGTCCTCTCTTGAGCAGATGGCTCACACCTTGGACTTCCTGGAGGATGGGACTGAGGAGTCTAGACTGGTTGGAACCAGGTGCCTAGTGGGGAATGATTTGAGCAGCGTAGTGCAGCCTGACCAGCCGGGATCCAGCCCGAGAGCACTTCAGTACGACCCACAAGCGTCTCTTCAATGGCTCCTTTCTGGTATAAACTGCAGTGGGAGCAAATGCACTCTGTGGATTTCCTGTGTGGTCTCAGACTGGCCTTTGCTGCGATTTGCCTCTCATACCTCCTTCACTTGCTTTTTAAACCCCAATTAAAAAGCATGCTTACAGGACAGTGGCTTGGTAGCCCAGCTCCTCAGCCTGACTGCTCGTGGCTTTGACCAGGCTCCTGTGACGTCGATCATTCAGACATCTTTCCGTGACCACTTCCTTTGACATCTGTGGCTACCACTCTGGTCTTCCTCTCTCACTTGGATGATAGCAGTAATGGCTTCCACTTGACCCTCCATCCCCTACCCTTGCCTGTTCTCAGCACAGAGCGGGAGTGCTGATTTGAACACGTCTGCCAGGCATGACTCCTCTTCTCAGAACCCCGCAGCAGCCCCCTGTTCTACCCCAGGTTGCAGTGCCTAAAAGGCCCCACGTGTTCTGTCACCCCCCCGCTCCCCTGTCTCTAATGGTTATGCCCCTCTCACCAGCCACTCTGGCAGCGCCTTTACTCCAACAGGCTAGATGTGCTCCCTCATTAGGGCCTTTGCAGCCCCTCTGCCAGGAACAAGATTCCCCCTCACCTCTCATCTCCTTCCAGTTCTCCACTCAGATGTTACTCTGTCCATGAGGTCTGCCTTGACGGCCCAAGTGAGATCTCATCCTCCACCCCTCCCCCGCTCCCAGGTTCCCCCTTACCTTGCTCTGCTTTTTGGTTTTCCATCGCATGTACGCCTTCCTATCACACTATATTATTTCTTATATGTGTTTCTTTTCTGTCTATCCACATTAGAGTATAACCTCCATGAGGGCAGGGATTTTTAGCCAGCTCTGTTCACTAATAAACCTCCTATGTGCCTAGCATATAGGTGCTTAATATATAGTTGTTGAATGAATTTGCAGATGGTTTGAACAAGGTGAGGGCCTGCTGGGAACTCCATTAAGAAGGAAAAGAGTGAGCTGAGGCCCAGGCCTGGGTTGGGGAAACTAAAAAACCCTCTACAGAGCCTGGATCCGGAGTCTTCGGTACATTTAAGCTTGGTCTAGGTTGCTGTTGCAGCATCCCAGGGCTGGACGCAGGGCCCAAGTGGGGCAGCAGGCAATTTCCAGACTGTACCTTCCAGTTGTGAGGGTGAGAGTTGCTGCCATTCTCTAACGGTTTGTCTGCAGGTGGCTGGCCGCTCTTTTATTTCTTTATTTGTTAAAAGATTTATTAGGAAACAGTGTGTTTCTCCAGGACCCATCAGCTCCAAGTCAAGTAGTTGTCTTCAATCTAGTTGTGGAGGGCGCAGCTCCCTGGCTCATGCGGGTATCGAACCGGCAACCTTGGTGTTATGAGCCTGCGCTCGAACCACCTGAGCTAACCGGCCGCCGTTGGCCACTCTTGTTAACAGTGGGCTGGTTCCGGAGCAGGTCCAGGCTGCCTATTGGTGGTGCCCACCAACCAGAGTGGACCTGTGATTCCTACCTCTCCGCCAGAGGTACAGTTCTCAGCTGGTCACAAAGAACCAAGGCCCTGCTACACAGATCTCCTCATTATAAAGAACAGGTAGGCATGAAACTGAAGAAAGTAGTAGCTTTGTTACTTAGGCCAAAGGGACAGTGGTTTTGTTTGCCCTCCCAAGAAGAAATGCATCCCAGCTCAGCTGCTGGATTTGAATGACTGGACTGAAGGGAGGCAGGGGAGGGACGGAAGGAGGAGGGGAGATACGATGTGTTACTTTACTGGAACAAGAATTTCTTTTTAAGTAACCTCCATCAATAATCATGGCCCTAGAATTAGATGGTAATTGCTTTTGTTTAACCTACACATGAAGCGAAATCGCCACCTTTTTAGTTGCATCTCTTCTTAAAGCAACGAGCAGCTTTGGGATTCTCTGCGTACCTTGTCTAGGGACATCCATGCATTTCCTTCACATGAAGGGAAACCCAGGGTTTCTCCCCTGCCCACCACGCGTTTGTCTTATTGCTGTCATGTTTGCTTGCTTGTTTTTGCAGAAACAGTCCACCTTGGTGAGGTGGTCAAGCTAAGTCCACTGGAGTAAATCCCACCTTGTCAAACTGTCTTGCTTTGTTTTCCTTAAGAAAGTGGTTATGTCCAGAATCTGACCATCTGTAGTGACATCTATGGCTGCCTCCCTGGCCCCGGCCACCATCATCTCCCCCCTGGCTACTGTCAGCCTCCAGTCGTTGGTCTTCCAGCTTCACTCTGGCCCCTGCAGTCTTCTCTCAAGACAGCAGCTGGAGGGGTTGCGCCTCTGGAGAGCAGGACCCCCAACGTGAGGCATGCTCAATTGTACTCATTGGCAGTTGTCACATCAGTCGTTCAACCTTTTGGGATAGAAGTGTGTCCAAAAATACCTCCAGAGTTTTGTTCTGTCTCATCAACTGTTCAGGAAGGCCGCTGTTTCCTAAGCTGTTTGAAGGTAGAAGAACACAGAGAGACGTCAGAAAGGGCTGGTAGAAACTGCCCTAATCAGGAAAGGAAAATGTCACATCACCAGTGTAGACACAAAATAAAACACCCAATTTCATTTTTACAATGTGAGTGACTGTCTTGTACGTCAGTGAGTCACCAGAAGTCTCCTCCACTTGGATTGTCGACTCCTCTGCAGTCGCCCCTGACCTCTGCTTCTGTGGTGGTGTCCGGCTGGCTCTGGCTTCGGGGTGAGGGTAAGCAGGCTCACAAACTTTTAATTTTATTGTGGTGCGTTGCCTTAGGGGACTAAGAAAACAGACGTTCTTGTTTAAGTCTCAGAATAATTTCCAAACTAACGCTAAAGGAAAAGAATCTCGTTTTCTTTGCAATTCCATTGAAAAGGCAGAAACGTAGATCCTCTTACCCTATAAAAAGGCTCGTCTAAAATATACCCCACACTACAGGAAAACTGTGCACCCTTTTATCTCCACTTACCATGAAGACCTTCATAAAAAAATTCTGTCCAGAGAAACATTTTTGCCTCTTGGGACAGGGCTTTGTTTGACATTCAAAACCATTTAAAATGGCAGATAAGAGCATGAACAAAAGCAAAATTCAGTTTGTAGAACGCCTACTTTTGCAATGCATGATAGTGATAGTGATCTGTCATTAGTCATGAAGGGTTTTCATTGGAATGGACTGCCTCCAGGCTTGTCTTAGTTTCTCTGCTTGTGAAATAGTTTATGTGGGATCTATGGGGGTGACTGCTGGCTCCCGGTCATGTTCACAGGCCATCTCTCCAGCAGGGCTGCCCCGGCTTGACGGCTGTTGGCTGGGTCCCCAGGTACTTTGAGGGCAAGGACTGTTGTGTTAAAACCACCTGCCATCTGTTGGTGAAAATGTTTTGGATGCTAAATGATGAGTCACTTATTTCTCCTGCTGTTCCTTCTGCCACCAGGACTAATTTACCTTTTGGACTTGATCAGGGGATCCACTGGCAGAACTTGTCACGGAGCTTTGTCCTATGCAAAGTTCATGTCCCCAGTGAGCCATCTTGCCAGGGTCATCACTAGAAAGGGTGGAAAAGAGCTGCCTTTGCATTTCCACGAGATAGGGAGAAGACATAACAGCAAGCTAGCCTGAGCCCCACTCTAAGGCCCTTCCGGACAAAGCCGACGTCAGCCGGTTTGAGCTGTGAGTCCAGAGGAGGTTCCACATTGTCCTGCCCGGGCGCTCTTGCCAGGGCGCCCATGCCGATCGCCAGGTGTGTGGCACAGGACAGGCCCTCAGTGACTGTTGGTTAAGTGAGTGACTGAGGTCTGTGACCACAAAGTGGGTAAAGCTGACCTACCCAGGGCCACCAAGAGGCGTGCTCTGGGCTCAGCTTCGCCCATTAGACCAGGGTGCCCAACTGGCAGTGTGACAAGCAAAACCATCAAGGACCCTGAAATTCTGACACAGTCTGCTGCTCTTGCCAACCTCGAAAGGAATGATTTTTAGGAGGATTTCAGGAGACTCCTCCTATACAGACAAGCTTAGTCCTATGATATGAGCTGCAAGCATGAGCGGTGGGAGGGGTGGGCTTCTGGGGGGCCTGGGGAAGAGCACTGGGAGCCACCGGCAGAGCCACGTGCAGAGCCACCAGCAGAGCCAAGGAGAAAACCGGAGGTCAGGTTGACCAGCCCCTCTGTCCACCCGAGTGTGGGAGCCGAAGTCTCGGGATAAAATACAAGATGCGCTTCTCTGTCGACTCAGTTTCACACAAATCGGGTTTTATTGTTAGATTCATCATCTTTTGTCCAAAAAAACAAAACAAAACAACAAGTTTATTAAGCTGGTTCAAATCTAGCTTTTTCACATATCCTAAAATATTCCTATGCTTCCTGCCTTCCATGTGTTTTAACCGCCCCAAAATTGTAAGCTCAAGAGCAGCAGCAAACCCCTAAGCGCAGAAGACTCTAACTCCTTCAAAGCGTGCCCCATTTCGCTGAAGTTTTCTAAAGATTTCCTGCCTGGTGAAATTACCAAGTCCCAGGTGGGTGGGATTTTATTCTTACCACAGAGTCGGAGTGATTCTGTGGGTGGCTCTTCACCCCAGCCTGCTAGATCAAAGGCAGTTATGTACTTGAGTCCTGGGTGGGAGGTGAAGTTCCTGTACTGTGAGTACCAGGCTCCAGCCACCGTCCCTGCTGCCATGGTCAGTAACTGGGCGACCTGGCCAGTTGTGTGGGCTGCCCAAGGCCCTGCAAGCCCCAGCTGACCTTTGCAGTCAAAGGAGCTGCTGACCAAACCCTGATGGACTTAAGGAACTTTGCAAAACATTCAGAAACAACCTATTCTAGAGCGATCTGGGTGGTGTGGGATGTGGTTAGGACAAGGTGAGCCTTTTTCGGAAGAAAGGATGATGGTGCTAATCTCCATGGCTAAGTATCAATGAGCTGGAAGTAACATGTCCAACCACGTTCCTTAGCGAAGCACAAGATTTCCTGTTGCTGAGGTAGCAACAAGGATAGGCTTCTAGAATGATGCCTTCTGTGTGTGCCTGTCAGTACTCAGGGCTTCGTGATGGCCGAGCTCTTGGCGGGGGGACACGTTTCCCTACTCGGAGTAGTGATTTGGCCACAGAGGGAATCCAGATGAGATGTGGGAGGCCTGCTGAGCTCGCAATACAAGAGAACTTTGGCAGATTGTCTGCATCACCACTCAGAGTTGGCAAAACAAGACTCTGCGGTCTTCAGTGCAGCTCCAGGCTCAGGTCACACGTGCTTCGTGCCGATCAGTCAGGCACTGGGGCATATGGCCTCTTAGCACAGGCACAGCAAGTGACACCAAACTGAGGTGCCCTTCTCCTCTGGGGGAGGATTTTTAATCAGAGAACAGAGGCCCCACCAGATTTTTAATCAACGAACAGGGGCACTGCCGGAGCCCCTGTGTTTGAAGCAGGGGAGATACTGAAACTGGGGGATGAAACAACGGATCCAGGCCCAGACAAGCCAAGGGGGCCTCCAGTACAAACTTGTACAGAAGTGTAGGTTTATACAACTACAAAAGATCCCATTCCCGACAAAAGCAAAGGGTATCAGATGACACTGGATTTTCTTGGTTTTGGATGAATTTTGCACACAGGGAGGAGCTACCAGAAGCTGTAAACCTGGTCAGTCTCCATTTAAAAGTAGCTACCGGCTAATCCATGGCTGTGGGAGCGATTTGCTGTCCAGCCCTCAGGCTGCTTTAGAAATGCTGATGTAGTGGGGGATCTGTACGTGCAAAAGACCTGCTCTCTCCTCTGCAGCGGTCTCCCACAAACAGCAAACCCCAGGAAACTCTAGCTACCTGAACCCAGCTAAAGGGCTGCTTCCAAGACGGGGTCACTGCCAGTTTCTTAAAGATGCTTGCAAGAAATACAAATGCCAGTTCGGCATTTCCTGAACCCTGGTTATTTATCAGACTAGAATCCTCTCTGGGAAGAGTTTAATCCTGCATCAAATACAGAAAGGCAAACCGTTGGCTTCGAGAGAGTGAGAGTTCATTGTAAAGGCAGGCAGGTGCTCCGGAAAGGACCCAAAACCCTGGGAAGGAGGAGGCCTGGCCACAGCTGTTCCAGGAACAGCCCTGGTAACCTGCCAGTTCACTCCAGGGGTGGAGAGAAATTAACAACAGGAAGAGACTCTTCTTAGAGCACTGGGTGCACGTGCACGTTTCACTGCTTCAGAGGAGATGCGTGAAGAGTCCCGAGAGTCGCAGCTGCACCAGGTTCACATGGCACTTGGAACCACCTGCCCAGAGGGCCACAGCACCCGAGTGTGCCCCTTGCTCAGAGACCCAGGACCCCAGCTGCGTGGCTGTGGACACAGGGCCACCCCTCCCCATCGTCCTGTGAGATGCCCAGCACCGACTTGTGGGGGATCCTGCACTCTTGGAGAGATTTGGTGAGGTCAGAGAAACGCCTCCGGGGCACCTCCATCGTCTCAATGCTGCAGTGTTGGTAGGTGGCCTTGTTCTTGTGTTCAGCCACGGCGATGACAGTTTGTAAGTTATCAGTTGGCCGGAAATGGCGGACGAACCTCCGGCCTGATGGTGATCTGACAGCAAGCAGCAGCCTTGGCTCTCGATCGGATGGTTCCTCGAGGTCTCCAGCCCGGGAGGAGCCCTGTCTCCTGGTTTCGACAATGAGTTTCCTCTCTGCGGGGCAAGCTGGAGCTCTGAAATCGTCGTTGCTTGTTTTCATGGCGCAGGGCTCCCCTTGGTAAAGAGCCTGCATGCTGCTCAGTTGCAGTGAGCTGGCCTTTTTAGCGACTGTTTCCACAGCTCCCTCCTCCAGGGTCTTCCTGTTGATGGAAGGAAGGACTGGATATTTATTGAGGGAAGAGGAAGCCCCTATGGGCACCTGCGGCAGCAGCTCGGGGACCTCATTGGGAGCTCCCTGGTTTGGGGATCTGGGTGCGCAGGCTCCCAGTTTCTGGCTGGTTGGCAACTCGCAGGGAATGGCTGGAGGTGGAGAAGCTGGTGTGCGGTGAGAGCACCCCCCCATGCCCTGGGGTTTGTGCAGACTCGGCCGTGTACGTCCCTTGGCAGACTTGGGCCTTGTGACGTGCATGTTTAGTGAGTGTGGCTGCCAAGTGAAGCTACTGGCTGCTGTGCTGACAGCAGTGCTGTACTCAGGGGGCGCAAGATTCACAGGGGCTTCTGTGGCCATTGCTTCTCAAGACCCCTAAGGAAGCAGGAGAAAAGAGAGAAAGGCCGTGGGTTAAACTTCCTGGGACTTCTGGATCCCAGGTATTCAATCCCCAGGTGCCAGAATAAACCAACTGGCCACAGGCGGGGGAGTAAGTAGGGGACGGCAGGGGGCCTTCTCTCTGGATTTAGGGCATCTAGACAGGGCCATGAGCTGCAATTCATTCATTCATTCACTCATTCATACATTCACTCATTTCAGGTACTGCAATATATCAGTGGACCCAAGTTATTGCAACTTCTATTATAGTGAGGAAAGACAAGTGTTAAACCTACAAGTAAATAGATATTGTCAAAGGGTAATAACTGCTATGAAGAAAATCAAGGATTGCATTAGAGAACGACTAGCATGGGGACTAATTCTTCTTTTTTGGGGGGGAGGGGAGGCAGGGCTTTAGGCTGAGTGGCCAGAATGATGAGAAGGAACAAGCCGTGTGACAATCTAGAGGTTGGCTAACTTTTTCTATAAATATTTTTGGCTTTGTGTGTCACGTGGCCTGCGCCAGTTACTCAGCCCTGCCATTGCAGCACAAAAACAGCCAGAAACCATACGTAAACCAGCATCACCAGGAGCTACCTGTGCTCAAAAGAGAGGAAGTAGCCCGCTTGTGTTAGCACTCAGGGAACCAGGCTCAGCGTCTTCCCTCAAAGCTGAATGGCAGACCAGCAGACTTCTCTCTGCACCCCCTTTAGAAAGGGGGCGGGGGCAGCGGTTGGCTCAGTGCAGCGCTCACTGTGGAAGAGCCACCCTCTGGGACCCCCATTTTCCCTTTCCCCTCAATCCTTTTCTCACTCTTCTCCCGTCTCCACATAGCCTGCCTTTACTTCATCTTCCTTCTTACTGTCTTTTCGTTCAACCTTGCTTAGTGGGTCTGCACATATGACTTAATGCAGGAGCCTGCCACTGCCCTGACTTTGTCACCAGGCGTGAAGGGTGGCCAGCACTCACAGGGAGGCCCTCTGGTTCTAGACCAGGAGTCGGCACACCTTCCCTGTCAATGGCCAGATGGTAAATATTTTCAGCTTTGCGGGCCATTTGGTCTGTCACAACTACTCAGCTCTGCCCTTTTGGTGTGAAAGCCGCCATAGACGGGATCTAAATGAACAGATGTGGTTGTGTTTATGGATAGGGAGATTTGAATTGCTTGTAATTTTCAGTGGCACAAAATATTATTATTCTTTTGATTTTTTTTCCAACCATTTAAAAGTATAAAAGCTATTCTTAGCTCATGAGCCACACAAAAACACAGTGGAGGGCCAGATTGGGCCCGCGGGCCACTATCCCGCGATTCACCAAACGCTATCCTAGACCAACTCCGAGGGGAACTCTGGGCACTTGCTAATTCTATAGACCTGTGAGCCAGAAAGGTAGAGGGCCTGCCCCCGGTCACACAGCCAGCTGGCGGCAGAGCCGGAAATAGAAGTCAGGTCTGTGACACCGTCCTGTTCTTGAGGACCAGGCTGGGTGTCTCCCCAGCACTGATAACATTCTGTCTCACTATGTGTTTCTGTCTTCCCAACTACATGGACACACACCGAGGACCTCTGTGTTTTCTCTGCCACCTGGGGAGCTCACGAGTGTTTGTGAAATCACACGGATGCAGTTTTCTGAAGCACCGTGGGAGACGTGAGCGTATCTCTGTGCAGGCCCCCAAGTGCCAAATCAGGTCCCTCCTCTTTCCCGCCATCTTGGTGGCCCCTTCACTAACATGGTCACCACCGCCTCATCCTCCCAGTTCCTGGTTACATCTTCCCGGGACACTGCAACATCCTGGGCTCCCTGCCTCCCTCTGAACCCTGACCACTGTGACTCCTGCTCGCTCTGCCCACAGGCTGACCAGGTCTCTCCCAGCCCTCTAAAGACCTTCTGCTAACTTCCCAGTGCCTCATGGTCCCCAAGAAGCAGCATGGGTGCAAAGGACACAAGCCCCAGTATCATAAGACCTGGGTTCTATTTCAGGCTCTGCCGCAAGCTAGTTGTGTGACCACAGGGCAGTTACTCCACCTTCCTGGTATGTCACCTTCCTCATCTGCAGAATTAGCTCTCTGCCCCTGAAGACATTATTTAAACACCTCTGCACATCAGTCTCGCTCTCTATAACATGAGGATAGTAATAGGAAATAACATAGGCAAGGCCATAAGCACCAGGCTTGGGGCATAATAAAGATTGGATTAAATGGTAAGGGTTTTTTTGCTTTTGGTTTTGGTTTTGTTTGTTCAGTGCTTGTATTATTTTAGGTCCAAAAGACTTACCTGTTGCTTCAGAGCTCTTCCCCCGGGGGGCCTTGGGAACATTGGTTCTGCTCCGAGTCAACTCGAACCAGCTGGTGAATCATGGGACTCATGCCAGCCCCACCCACTGCACAGAAATGCCAGAAGGTTGATTTCAGTGAGCTGCTGCCTATTGAAATGGCCTCAGAAATGTGAAATAAATGCTTTCTAACAAATCCCTTCTAAGTCCACACTTTCATCTTGTACTTACCTCAAATTCACTTAACTCCAAGCTACCTTCACAACAGGATCCTGAACAATGTAATTCAAGGCCCCTTAGCTTTGGGCTCTAATGTTACCATTCTGCGCATATTACCATTATTGCAACTTTAGGGAGTATCCTCTTCCACCCCACTAAAACCACAACTGAACAAAGCGCAATATCCCTGTATTTTCCTGAAGTCCTACTCAGTTCAACATCTGGAACAAAGCTCCCCTCTCTTCGTTCAAGGCCTCTGTTTGCTCTCGCGGACTCACAGACTGAGTCTGTCTACACTCCCTTTTCGCACTTCTCACTCGTCTTTCACACCCAATCTGGCGGCTGGGGAGTTCAGTGCCTTCTCCTTGGCACCAGAAAAGCCTGCCTAGCTTCCTTGTTGGTTTCATCTAATTTCTGATCAACTCTGAAGAAGGTGGGGTTTGTTTTTGTTTGTCTGTTTGTTTTTTAAGTTTAGTTCTAAAGCCTTGCACTTGTAATTAAGCAGCTCTGTACTCTAAATCAGGAGGGCGTGAGGAGGTCATAATCGTCCAACTGTTCCGCCGAAGATAAGCTCAACTGGGAAACCAACTCCCCCTCTCTGCCCAGCCTCCCGCCTTGAGGAATGGCTGTTCATTTGCCACAGTTTCTGCAGAGTGATCACAGACTTGGCTTCCAACTCCCACACATGCCTCAGGAAGGTTTAACTGTCAGTAAGTTTGGTAACTTAGAAACCTCTTCCTTAACAACTTTGACTAGGAACGAGGAACGTCATGTGTTCTCCCGGGCTCTCTGCTGAATTATTTTTAACAGGAAAACTTGAGTATGTGCATGCACTTTCTATACCTTTTGGTACTATATAATTACCCATGTTCAGAGGGTGTCATATTCAAGACACCCTGGTCATAAGATAACATGACTGTGAGCTATCTCAGAGAAAAACCTCAATTATGACTAATTCCTATAAGCCCACTCATGGCTATTTAGAGACTAACACCTCCTTCAGGTAAAACCATTCCGGCGAACCTTTCATAACCCACTGCCTCCTCCCCAGTGCGGGGACCATCTGTCACATGGCGGGAAGACCAGCTCTCCCCAGGATCTAGCACATGGAGAGGGGAGGTGGGGGAAACAGGTGTTCCGGGACCTGGGCCAACTTTGTGCCTTCATAGTCACACCTTGGGTCCTGAACTCCTCTGCCGCCCCCCTCCCCCCACTCCTCCCCAGCACCCCTCAGTCCAGGAAGGCTTCTGCAGCACCCATCATTATCCCTGCTCAGCTCACTTCACCACCTCTAGGCCTGGCAGACTCCCAACCACAAAGTGATTTGACAAGATCTGGGCGTAGGCATCCATCAAGCTGCCAGCTGAATAGGCAAGTGGCCTGTTTACTTAAACATAAAAGCTGCACCCCAGAGGCCTGCTGGAGTCAGGAAACAAACATCAGAGGCCTGTTTCCAAGGAGCTGCACAAAGGGCAGGTGCGTTCATTCCTTAAGATCAATCACCAAATCAACTGGCAAGAAGGAAAATTTGATAGGAGACGCTAAAGCCATAGTCCTGCTTCCCAAGGGGCGCCTGCCTCCCACCACTAGGGCAGACCACCGTATTTCACTCACAACCCAAATCGAAACTTACAGTAAATGCAATAAAATATAACCACCCACATTCCATCTGCTGGTATGTACCAAGGATGCATACATTTGAATCGGTCTTTTAAAAATATTTATCAGTTAATACTACCCCCTGCCAATCCCCACCCCCTCCTGGTGAGGCGTTCAGGATGAAATCGCTCAGGAGAACCAACAGGAAATGGTAGCTGGCCTGAGAATGAGAAAACTTGGGTGCCATTCCCAGGTCTACCCAGACTGATGATTAGAATACACTGTCCTATGCACAGTGCCACGTTTAAAGGGGGAGTGGAGAAATTGTGATCAAAGGTTTGGAAAAGGAATTGGTAATGATTCCAAGGAGAGCGGGCAGGTGGAGGGGCATAGTTCAATTATTTACAAGTACTGACCACTCTAGAAGGAGACAAACTGAAGCAGCAGCAGGAGGGATTTGCGGGGGTGGGGGTGGGGGTTGGAGGGGGGGTGTTAAGAAAGAGCATCTAAAAAGGGAGAGTTGACTTGGGTGAAAGAGCATTGGTCTGGGGGAGGCTCAGATCTGGTTCCGGTCTCTCCATGTGACTGACGGGATGTTCCTTTGTCCCTCTGGGTCTGTGCCCCGTCTATACTGCCCAGCCAGGAGGGCATGGCCCAACGGTTTCCTAGGCCCCTCGGCTTGTCTCCCGCAGAGCCCCGGAGGTGTCCAATTCTGGCAACGGTGAGCTCTGGCCAGGCTGGCTTTGCCCCTGAGGAATAGCCTCTACTCTCAGGGCCCCTCTCCTGTCTCCCGGGGCTCGCCCCGTGCGGGTTGGGGGAGGCCCGCCCGGGAGACACACCCAGGGGCCTCCGGGCCCTTTTTGGTCGCGGGTGGCTTTGGGCAGGCCCGTGGGGGCCTAGAGGCCCGGCAGCGCTCACCTCGCAGCTCCGCTCCATCCGCCCCGCTGTCGCCGGCTCAGTCCCTGCTGGTAAACAGCCCTGTCTCCCAGGCAACCACAAGGGTGGGGGGCCACGTGCTTCCGGTCCAGCCTGAATGGGCCAGGCTAGGGTGGGGGTG